TTTTTTAGCTTATTTTAAAAAAAGAAAGCTCATTGAAATATAGTTCACATACCATGCAAGTCAGCCTTTTAAAGTGGACAATTTGGTGGTATTTACTAGACTCACAGAGTTGTGTAAACATTTTCATCACCCCCAAAAAGAAACTCCTTACCCATTAGTAGTTACCCACCCCCCTCAATCCCTCACCCCCAGCCCCTCATCTCCTTTCTGTGCATTTGCCTATTCTGGACATTTCATATAAACAGACTCACACTATGTGACCTTTTGTGTCTGGCTTCTTTCACTGAGCACCATGTCTTTTGGCTACTGGCTATTGTGAATAATGATGCTGTGAACATTTGTGTACAAGTTTTCGTGTGAATGCATGTTTTCATTTCTCTTGGCTACAATTTGCTTTAAATTTAAATTTTATCTTTTTCAGACTTTCTTTTTTTAGAGTAGTTTTAGGTTCACAGAAAAATTAAGAGGAAGGTATGGGGGAATTCCTTACCTGCCCTCCCCACCTGTATAATTTTTACTGAATCATATTGCAGACGTCTTTTCAGCTCAGTACTTACCTCCTTGCAGTTGGTGTGGCTTCTTTGCTAGTTTTCCCTACCAGTCCCCTCACGGGCTTTTGTTTATTTTGGTCAAAGCCACATCCCTCTCCTCCTCTACCCTTTGCCTTTTCCTTATTTCCTGGTATCCATCTGAGCTGGGCTTGCAAAGACCCCGTCTGAGGGGCTTCTCTGTACCAAGATAGCTCAAGAGAGAGCCTGAGGGTACCAGGGTGCGAGGCCCCCACCAAGGCAGTGTAAGGGAAGAGCAAAGCGTGAGCCAGAAAGCCTAAGGGTGACTCACGCTGGCGTCAGCTGCCTGGCTCTTTCTTTCTCCTGACCTGGGGGCCTCTTCTGCCTAAGAAAGCCTTTTTTCCTGCATTAAAAATAAACGTCTCTGTCAGCCTCTCTGCAGTGGGTGGAAGCATGCTTAGTTTTGGTGTGTGCCTTGTGCGGAGCAGGCATTTTGGGGGACATGGTCCTTGCTCCCTGGGTCACTCTTCCTGGGCCTCCAGGGAGCCTTGCCCTTCTGTGTGATAGAGCTGGAATGGGGTGCTGGCTACAGATGCACAAGTGAGGTTACCAGAGGCATATGTGGGGTGGCAGCTCTGTGTGTGGAGGTTGTCCTGGCCGGGCACCGCAAGGACAGTGCAGCATCCGGGCCCTGATGGCCAGGAAGAGTTGGCGCTCCAGTCCCCACATCGTCTCCATCTCTGTCCCCTGGCCCAGCACTGGGCCAGCCAGTGTAGGTCATCCGTCGGAGTTTGTTGAGTCAGTTGAATGAAGATGTGTAGGGTGCTGCCCTGGGCTCTGTTGAGAACACGTGATTTGCAAGCTGAATGTCAGTGGGAGGTGCTGGGAAGGCTGCTGCAACAGAGCCTTCAAAGCAGTGTCTCTGTCAGGACTTTTTGCTTGTGAGTGACAGGAAAACCTCAGTCTGGTTAAAGATAATTGAGAATTTATTTGCTTAGATTTTGAAAGAGCTGGATGGCTTGCCATTTCCTCTAGAGCCTGTGTCATCAGGACAGGGTCTGCTCTGGCTGAGCCTGCCTTGCTCTCCGCCTGGCACTTTGCAGACCAGTACCCGGGTCCTAGAGTGCTTGGCTGGACCACCCCAGGCCATATGCCTCCCTCTGTTGCCCCTGTTTGAGGCAGGCATGTGCCATCCTCTGGCCAGACCACAGGGACCAGAGTAGTAGAGAGGTCATTCTCAAACTTCCCCAAGGAAGATTGGACAGCTGCCAGCCGAGAAGGGTGCTTGGATGCTGGGCAGGTGCAGCAGCTGTCTGCACATTCTCTGTGGGGTTCGGACAGGTCTGGGCAGGGGGTCAGGCTGGGTAAGAGCAGGGTCTCAAGGACAGAAGTACCAGGGTGTCTAGGGCGGCAGTGGTGGCCTATCCCATGGACTGGGAGGACACAGGTAGGCGTGGTCTGGAGGTGACCCTGGCTCTGTCACTCTCTCCATGAAACATTGGTCAAGTTATGCTCTCTATGGTTTCCCATTTGTCACCTGGAGATAGAAACAGTCTCTTGCTCTAGGGTAGCCATCAGGGTTCTATGAGGTCACGCATGCAGAGTGCTTACTTAGCTTGGGCTGTCCATCATGAGCCCTGTCTGCTGAGAGGACAGGAGGGGAGAAGGGCCAGTGTCCTTGCCTGCCCGGTTGTGGCCACCCCACACACCTCTCCATACATACTGCTGTCTGTTATTCCAGCACCAGCAAAACAGGACTGTCAGCCATGCTGAGGTGGCACTCAGCATGCATGGCAGAAAGACAGTACGGATCACTTGGTGGCTCCACAGTGCACCTAGTCAGCCACATCTACCCCGAGGATTGTGTTCCAGCAGCTGGCTGGAAGCACAGGGGGCGAAGTGCACAAAGCTCTGCTTCTATCCTGCTCTGTCACTTGAACAGCGCCCCCTCCTGGGCTTAGTTACAGCCCTTGGAAGGGCAGTACTTGTGCATCACACCCAGCATGGTCGTCACCAGGGGAACTTTGGGATGATCGTCAGCAAGGTTGTTCTCTGTGCTTTCAGGGTGGGGAGAGCAAGCAGGCTTGCAGAGGAGCCCCTGTCCCCTGGATAGCTGTGGATGACATGTAACTCCTGAGTCTTGGGTGATCACCCTCCTCCACGGTCATCTCAGAGCAAGGCAGGGGCTCAGAAAGGGGGTCCCTCCCTCCCACAAGTCCAAGTTTCTGCGGTGCAGCCCTTCTACCCTGAGGCTGCGGGGAGCGTGAGGCTTGGTGGGGTCCTGGGTGGGCCTGGACACATCCCACATGCCCCCCCACCTCCCCTCATGCAGCTGACATGCGTACATATCCCCACCAAGTCCTGCATTCCGGGGGTCCAGGCCTCTGGGAGGTCCTCCTGGGCCGCCTTGCTTGGTTCCCACTGCCTAAACACACGGAGCTTTGAGTCGCTGGTGCTCACTGTGTACTCTCCAAGACACCACGCTCAGAGCCTTTGCATGAGGCAGAGCTTTTATCCTTTTACAGATGAGGAAACGGGCCTGGGTTGTGGAGCTAGACTTGAACCTGCCATTTCTCGGTCTGACCCTGCCCTGGCACCTGGACCCCTCCTGGCCTCTCCTGTTCCCCGTGTTGCCTCCCACTGACAGCCTGTGACCCACAGGCCTCCCTTTCAGGCCTCCCCCGTGCAGCCCCTGCTGTGGGTGTCCTCAGCTGGCCACCTCTGTCCCGTGAGCTCAGCGTGACCTGACCTGAGGCCCCCACTGGTGAGCAAATACGAGACCACACCACAGTGGACTCCTGTGGGGAGGAAAGTGGCCTTCAGCCGGAGAGCAGCAAAAGCCACAAGGGGTTGGAGCTGGAGGAGAAGGAACGTGACAGGAGGTTTATCCTTGAGTTCAGACCAGCTGCGTGGTCTCCTTCACTTCCCTTCCATACTTGGTCGACGCCACTCCAGGTGCCTTTCTTTACAAGGTTAAACGCAGAGCTCCCATGGGACCCAGCACTTCCACGCCTGGTCATACCCAGGAGAACTGAAAACAGGCCCAAAGAGATGCTTGTCCAGCATTGTTCATGGCAGCACTGCTCATGACAGCTAAAGGTGTCGTCCATTGGCAAATGACGACATTTCATACAGTGAAATACTACTCAGTCTTGAAAAGGAAGGAAGCACTGACATGCTGTCAGGCGGGTGATCCTGGAACACATGCCGAGTGAAAGAAGCCAGGTACAAAAGACAAATTCTGTTGATTTCATTTCTATAAAATGTCCAGAACAGGCAAGTCCATAGACAATAAGTAGAGTGGGGATTGCCAGGGCCGAGGGAGGGGGATGGGGCCGATTGCCTAATGGGAACAGAGTTCCCGCTTGGAATGACGAAAACATTCTGGAAATGGAGGATTGTGATGGTCGCATGACCATATGAATGTACTTAATGCCACTGAATTGAATACAAATTAGCTATTTTAATCATTTTTATCTATTTTACTACACACAAAAAACACCCAAAAGGCACCGCCAGGCCTCTGTCTTTTTTGCCATTTTGTTTGTCCTCTCGAACTCAGTCTGGCTGTTCTCTCCTCTTTTCCTCAGTTGAACTTTGACCTAGACCGGGGAGTGTTTCCAGTGGTCATCCAGGCAGTGGTGGATGAAGGAGATGGTGAGTGGCCTTTCCTCTTCTGTTCTCCCATCCAGCGTGTGGACCCTGCGGGAAGAAGCCACTTCTCCCCTCAGTCAGCAGGGAGGCATTTATTCAGAAGCGATGGACGGTGTGGGCTCAGCCCACTTAGCAGGTTTAGGGCCCTGGGACTCAAGTGCTAGGCTCTCCATCTTCTCTCTAGGGCCCCCTTGTGGTAGAGCCTGGTTCTCACTGTGGTAACAGTGGCTGGAGATGCCTCTGATCTGGTGTCCACCCCACAGTGGAATGATGGAGACGGTTAGCAGAGAGCAGCAGGGAGTGGGATGGGCCTGTCTCAGGCCACGCTGATTTCCTAACCAGTCCGGCAAAGACTGCTGGGTCTCCTCGCCACTGCTGTGGGCTACACGCCCCCAGCCTAGGATGTGGATGGTGGAGCCCTGCCAGTGCAGGGCTTGTACCCAAGCCCACTTTCTCAGTTTAGCAGCACTGCCTAAAATGTTCCTCCATGTGCAGAATGAGACAGCAGGTACAGAGCCAGCCTCAGGCAGTTTGGAGTGGCTACTTTGAAGGAGGGGTGACGTGTGGGCTGGAGGGAGGCAGGGCCCCCCAGGCAGAGAACATGAGATTAGGATGAGCTCTTTGAAGGGTTCTGGACTCAGCCCATAGGAATGAAGAGGAGAAGCTGGGGCAGGGGCAGGTCAGTGCTCTAAGCTCGCTCTCCTCTCTCTCTCCGGGCAGTTGTGGAGGTGACTGGTCATGCCCACGTGCTCTTGGCCGCCTTCGAAAAGGTAAGTGCTGTCCTGCCCCTTGACCTGGGAGCGATGGGCAGAGGAGTGGTGTTTGAGACTAGAAGTCTGAACTTGGGGGTCACTCCTCGTCAGGTGGGCTTAGAGCCAGAGGCCCAGGGCAGACGGAAGGTTCCCCAGTTGTTCCAGGCTCCAGGAAGATGATGTGTTTCCAGAGGCTGGGCCTTGAGGTAGAGCGTTGCCATCAGGAAGCTTTTTAAAGGACACATAGTGTTTGGTGAGGGCATGTTCTGGGGAGACCAGCCCTCTGGGAAGTCCCAGTAACCTGCCAGCTCAGGGGCTGGGATCCCCATGTGGAGGGCTCTGGTCAGACCACCGTTCCTCTGGGATGTAGAGGGGTCATCCAGGGCTGTGGCCTTTCCCACCAGGCCCAGTGGCCTGGGTGTCTTCAGAATCTCTCAGTCCCCACCTGGTCCTCAAACATTCACAGGTGATCCTGTCCTGTCTCCAGGAGGCTGCATCTCCCGGTCCCTCGGGGCCGGGCAGACCTCCCTCCCCACTGGGACCTTGCTGACCTCCAGGCAGTTATTTGTTGCACTCACTCATCTGATGTCCATGAGGGCAGGGCTGGTCCCGTGTTTGTTATATTCTCAGCGCGAAGTAGGCACTCTGCGAATGCTGGTATTGTGGAGGAGGGTCTGCCACCTGCCTAGCACAGCCCTGGACTCTCTGTGAGTGGCAGAGGGAGGAGACACCCAGACTCTTCTGAGGGCCCTGAGCCAGGGACGCCTACAGATGAAGAGGCCGTTTACATGGAGGGAGTCACTTAATATTACCTTTAGCATTACGTGTATTCAAAACTTAGGTGTTTGCCCCTTCTTTTCACACAAACTCGAGTCCCCAGGTTCCTCAGCTGTGTGTTTTTTGGCCACGTTTACGGGGTGCAGTGGGGATATTGGCTTTGGTAGTGCAGATGGTCAACCTCACTACTGATTAGGACATTGCGGGTTCTAGGGATCGTCTTGCTCACCAGTCACTGCTGGTCATGGGGGCCAGGCAGTCCTGTGCGTCTGTCCACACAGTGATTGAGTGCCTGGCTGTGTTAGGACAGCATCCCTGCTCACTGAGACCTTTGCTGGAGGTAGTGGGGTATGTCACTTGTTTGAAAATGCCACAGCTGACATCCCCTACCCCCAGTGCTCTATGACATTGGTTGGCACTCTGCAGTTGCACAGAGTTTCCAGAGTGTCCTACGTGGATGAAGAGCAAGGATCCCTTGAGGAAACTATGCTCAGGCTGCTTGTTCTGGAATTCCCACCATGCCTGGGCACCCTGCAACCCCCAGCTTCCTCAGCCAGTTGTGTGTCTGCAGCACCGAGAGCCCTTTGTGCAGGGCCCAGCTTCTTCCTTTCATCTGGGTCTTTCCAGACACTCCAAGAGTCATTGTACCCAGGGCTGAGGCCTCCCTGGCCTATTTGTTGAGTGTTCTCCCTGGCCTCCTGGGGCTGTGGTGACGCCGAGTGCCCCAGGCAGAGTTTGGCCCGCTCCTCCTCCAGCTCTGGGCTGGCCAGCTGTGCTCCCTGAGCCTGGTCTTGTTGGAAGCAACAGTAACTATCTACCCTTCTACTTCTCTGGCCAAGACAGATGGGCCACTGATGGCAAATATTCCATTCTGTGGTTCTAGTTTAGAGCCCAGTGAGAAACTCTTTTGTTTTTTGAGTTCAGCATACTAGAAACTTCTATAGGAACCCATCGGCCTTACCAGAAAATGCCAAGTGCTGGTCTCGGTTAACTCAGAACGATAATTGGTGATGTCACAAGATCTTGTACCTAAATTAACTTCGTCAGCTCTCAGCTGTCTCTCCAAATACCACTGAATGCGCTTTGTTCTGGTTTCTTCTACAGTTTTAGAGTGTTGGACTTTCCCATGTACACATGTGTGTGCGTGTTCTTGTGCCGTCTTTGAGAGTAGACCAAGCCCTTCGAGGGCTGCAATTGGTGTCTAATTCTTGCCATCCACGTACTGCTTCTTGACGTTGGGGAGGCTCTTGTCCATCATCAGAACCTGGCTGATGATTGTAAATTTGAGTGTGCTTAAGAAACTACCTGGGGCCAGTTGGGCTTTGCAAATCAGGATGAAATCCCAGAGGCGGTATCTTTAGAAGGTGCTCAGGGTAGTGCTGAGGCCAAGTCAGAGGCCACATTTGAGAAACCCCGGCTTGGCTCTTTAGTCTTCACACAGCCCCTCCTTTTCCAGCGATGAACGTGGAATGACCGAGGAAGACCTTCAGCAGGCCGAGCAGTGCCCGTGTGGTCGAGTTAACCTTTGTGTCTTTCTCCCTGCAGCATGTCGATGGCAGCTTCTCTGTGAAGCCGTTAAAGCAGAAGCAAATTGTAAGTCTGTCAGAGGAAACGCGAGCCCTCTCGATTTAAAAGACACGTGTATACGTACAATCTAGTAGTCTTGGTGGATTATTTTCCCTGCCCACCATGGTAGCTGTTGAGGTAGCTGGTGACAGGTCTGTTGACGTTTTTGTCATTGCTCTGGGCTCTGGGAAGTCAGGGTCAGGGTCATCGGGTACGTGCATGTATACTGCATACCCACCATGTACCAGCATTGACTGTTGTAGCCTTGAGTCTTATCCAGCATGAACATAGCAAGCTTTCGGTAAATGTTTGCTGAACGAATGAATGGATGGAGGTAGGAAGGAAACAGGAAACTAAGACTGCAGCCTCCCTTCTCCTCCTCCTCACAAATTACGGAGTATACCTCAGTATTGGGCAAAGATGATGGACTTAATCAATTTTGAGAGGAAAAATGGAATACCTGGGAATAAATGGGAGCTACAGGATAGTACAGCTTTTCTTTGGGGTCAGTAATTCCATGTT